TTCTTCTCTGTGACTCAAGTCAGATGTCACCTCTTCAGGGAAGCCTCCTAATTCGCATTGTTGAATGTCTCCCCCTCAGCCAGTCCAAAGAATATGAGCTCCTGGCAGAGTGGTGCACTTATCTATGTTACTCAGTCCCTAGTGGAACAACTGGCAAAAGCAGTCAATGAATTCATATGTCAACCAATTGTCAATGAACAAACCTCAAAACATTCTTTAGCCTCTATAACCTCAACTCTCTGAATCCCGTTTTCCATTTAAATAATTCTTGCCCTAATTTTCCGATAAAACCTGTTGCTCGTGAGTGGGTCAGAAACATTCATAAGTTCTAGACTGATTACACCAATATCTCTTTTTTTTCTCACCAACAAGCCCTTGACATTTTCTTTGACACTTTCTGACATGTTAGGACTAACTTATACAGAGCACCAGATGAACAAGTAAGGAGACTGACAGTTTGGTCCCAAGTACTCTACTAATTTACTGTAAGGCCTGAGCCAATTACTCTTCTTTTCTGGGTTTTTGTATACTCTGTTGTGAAATTAGGAGTCAACATGAATTCTTAGATCCCTTTGAACTTGAGAAAACTGTGGCCAAAATGTTTTTAAGAGTAGTGCCACTTTCAAGAATGATTTTAGCTTAAGAAAGACTTCATCCAACAAATGTTTCCTAAGTCTTACCTCATGGCCATATATTTTTCTAAGGTCTGAGAATACAGCAGTAAGCAAAACATAAACACTATCTATGTAGCTTACTTCATGTTAGGGGTAGGAAAAATAAATGATAAATTCATCTGTGTAGATATATGGACATATCTATATCTACCTACAAAAGCAGGTTGTAATAAGCACTATAGAAGGAAAAATTAAAAAAAAAAACAAATCAATATGGAGAGTCACTGTTGTTGGGGTGAATGTAGAAATGTAAGTGTTTATAATGTTATATAGTTTGTTCAGTGATAACCTCACCTCAAAATTGACAACTGACTAGAGAAAGGGAAAAGGAGGGAGAGGAGAAGGGCAGAGAGAGAGAGGTTTGAGGAAAAGTATACCAGAGAAACAGATAACATGTCCAAAAGACTCTTGGTGAGAGTGTAACTGGTTTATTGAAAGAAGAGAGAGGGGTCAAATAGTGCAAAAGATTTAAAGAGAGGATCAGAAAATGAAATTGGAGAGGTTACACTAGAGGAAGCACATCACTAGGCTCTTACTGACAATTGTTAGAGCTTGATTTTGTATGTGATAAGAAGCTATTAGATGAATTAAAGGCAAGTTCTGATTTAACATTTTAGAAGGATTACTGAGATAGTTGGTTCGAAAACAAAAAGGAGGTAGTCTGGAAGGCACATTGATAGAAGACTATTGCAATAATTATAAATGTAAAACTGCAGATGACTTGGACTTTGGCAGGAGCAGTAGGAAGCTGTTGGATTTCACCTTTAGTTTGGAATTGCTGATGGAATTCATCCATAGATTAGTCACATATAGTAGAGCAAAGAGGAGCTACAGACTACTGTGACTGTGATCTAAACAAGTAGAAAGCTAGAGTTGACACTTAGGAAAGTTTGTAGAAGGAGCAGAGAGAAGCAGGTTTAGGCTGGCAGGAATATTCCGAAGCTTACTTCTGGATAAGGTAAATTTCAATGACTCATAAACATCCAAGTGTTTATATCAAGTACGTAGTTGAGTGAGAGTCTAAGATTCAAGAAAGACTTCTGGGTTACAGTTATATAATTTGGAATGATCAGGACAGAGATGATTTTAAAGATTAAGGAGATGAGTGAAAACCAAAAGAGTTAATGTAGATAAAGAGATAAAGAAGTGATCCAAATGTGAGTTCTACTCTAAGAATAAGAGATAGAAGGTGATGAAAGGAAACCTGTGAAAGAGACTGAAGTAAGATAAGTTTTAAGAGAAACATATCCTAGAAGTCAAATGAAAAACTGTTTCAAGAATCAGTGGATGATAAACTACGTCAAATGCAACTGAGAGCTAACATGTGGTGGAACTTGAGTTAGTTTCTCAAAACAAATCGATAAACAAGACAAAACAAAAACACATGCTTAAACTGTAAGAACTAAATAGTGATTACCAGTAGGGAAAGGGAGTGAGCAAATCTGGTAGAAAAGGTCAATTCTATGGTGAATAATGGAAACTAAACGTTTGGTGGTAAACACTGTACTTTATATACAGATGTTGATTTATACTGTTGTACACCTGAAACTTATAAAATGCTGTAAACCAAGGTTACTTTAATAAAGAATTAATTTTAAAAAAAGCACATATTCCACCTACAAAAGGATGAAAGTCTGCTTCTAATCCCAGTCAACCAGGGACACCATATTTTCATTATGGTCTCTGTGACTTCATGTGCCCTGGAGTTATCCTGTGCAGAACATAAGCATATACATTTGGCAGCCTGAGTCAACTATAAAAGGCCAGCAGTATTTCTAGAAGGCCTCTTACTGCAGGTAGGTGATTGGATAATACTTAGCAGGTCTGTTTCAAATGCATACAAACATTTTTCCTCTCCCTCAACACACACACACACACAAACCTGGCATTTGTCATACTAAATGCAGAGTGCCATATTCACCCCGGTCTTTTTCTGTTAAGTAAATAGGCCTTGTATTGAATATGGTGCTAGCCATTGATATTACCACTATGTTACTAAATGCTCCATTTATTGACTGATTAACAGGTACTAGGTACATCTCATTTATTTGTGCTTTATTCTATCATATTTTGCAAGTATTGCATTTTTCATAAATTGAAATATATGGCAACCCTGTCTCAAGCAGATCCACAGGTGCCATTTTTCTGACAACATGAGCCCATTTTGTGTATCTCTGTGACATTTTGACAATTATTGCACTATTTCAAATTTTTAATTATTATTACATCTGTTATGGTGTTTTGTGATCAATGATCTTGGATGCTATTAGTGTAATTGTCTTGGGCATCACAAACCAAAAAACTATTGTGACTTGTTTTACAGTGATATTCACTTATTTGATGTCATCTGAAACCAAAGTTGCAATGGCTCCAAGATATACACATATATATACAATTTTGTTAAATTATCACAATATCTTCTGAGGTTGGTATTAACATCATCCTGATTTTCATGAGAACATTTAGTCTTAGAGAAGTAAAATGATTTGCCTAAATTCACATAACAAATAATGACAGATTCTGTTTTCAAATCCAAAGGTCAACCTCTGGGGACTCTTAGTCAAGAAATAAAAATGGGAATGTTCTGTTCTTCTAAATGCCTTAGTCCTTGGTAAGAAGTGCATTTTGAATTCTGTTACTAACTGTTCCCTTTCGTGATTCGCAATAAGGTGGGGTTATCTGAACCAACTCTATAATTTTCCTGATGCTGAAATGCATGCAAGAGCTGACATGCCCATCTCTTTCTAGACATTACCTATTGATAAAAAAGGTATCTCAGGGTTGGACTGACAAAGGAATAGTCAAGAGTCACCACAGTAGTAACATTCCATTCCTTCAGCACAGGACAACTGAAGCAAATAATGCTAACTAACATTTCTGGAATCCCATCACCAAAAGAACATTAGCTTTTTTGGTTCACACTCCATAGACCTCCAATGACTGGGCATTAGCTGGAACTTCAGTATCATCTTTGTTATAGCAAGTATCAATTTGGTAAGAAATAATATAATTTTTGTTAGTTAAGTGACAGATGGCTGAGATGGCTACTTAAAAAAAAATCTATGAATTTAGAATGTCAACTCATTTGTTAGTGAGAAAAAAGGAATCAAATTCCTTAGCAGACAAAAACAACTTAATAATGTCTGTGCTAATGAAAACCAACTGATTTACAGCCTCTACCTCCTCCAAAAAGAGACATACATATAGGTTTAGGTTGTAGGTTTGCCTTCTTGTCCACTGAAAAACACATTCTAGGAAAATTCATGGGGACTGGCAAAATGACACTAATATTCTATGTTCAGTCTTTTCTCAGACTGTTTCCTTTATTTTTTGTGCTTTTCCATTCCCTGTGACAATCTTGATCACTTTTGGTAAATCTGTGCAACATTAGGGAAGAGAGCAACAACAGGCTAAATCTTAGCAAGACAAGTATGCCCGGCAATTGATTCTCTTAACCCTCAGGATAGACAGTCCTGAGCCACTCCCACCCTCACCAGCGGGCCACCCCCCCCACCCCCCCCCCACCCCCGCCCTCCCACAGCTTTGGAGGTACTCTCACTGGGAATAGGCAAGTGGTCACCGGCTGTGACCTAATGATGGATGTGAGTGTGCACATACATTTGCAGGACTACTGGGCCCCACAGGAAACAAGTCTAAACTTTCTACTTCATTAGCAGAGCAGTTTACATAAAAGAGAAGGTGCCTAATGCAATTTAAAGCTGCACTCAGCTTCCATCTTTCCTCTGTCAATGGCATCAGGCAAAAAAAAATACCAGACCAGAAGTCAGGTCTAGTCAAGCTCAAATTCACATTCTCCAATCATTCCTAAGCCATCGTAGGAAATCATTTACACTTTCTGAACTTTGGTGTTCTCATCTGATCTGTAGGAATAAATAGACTTATAAGATGTGAAGTACTTGGATACAAAAGAGTGCACATGCTCACTCCTTTAATGTATCAATGAAGCTTGAACAACAGTAACTTTAGTCTCTTACATTCAAATTATCATCCTGCTCTAGAAGATAAAAAGTTACTAAACTCCTCATAAAGTAAGGAAACTTATCTCATAGCTGGCTCTGAATTTAGAAATTACCACAAATCCAGATTAAAGCAACAATACGAAATCTTTTTTTTTAAGCTTTTGCCAACTGGGGAGTTTTACAGCACACTAATTAAAAGAGAGCTATGTTCCTGTACTTCAAACTGACTTCACAACTACTGAAGTAAATGAGTAGTTACAATAGCTAACATTTCTTCAGCACTTGCTGTTTTAATCTACTGCTACATAACAAATTGCCCCAAATTTAAGGTAACAAATGTTTTTACCTCACACTTTTTTTGAGCATCAGAAGTCCGGAAGCAACTAACTGGATTAGTTACGGCATAGAGTCTCACGTGAGGTTACAATGAAGATATGGCAAGTTCTGTCACCTAAAGGATAGAGAATCAACTTAGAAGTCCACTTCATGTGGCTGTTGGCAACAGAATTAAATTCCTTGATGGCTTTTTACTGAGGCCTTGATTCCTCGCCACATGCCCCTCTATGCTGGGTAGTACAGGTATCTAGCAGTAGAGCAGTGGCCATCCACCAGAGCGAGTGACCCAAGATGGTTACAAAGACACATTCCAAGGATTGGGAAAATGACCTTCCGTAAGTGCTAGCTTTAATGTTCTAAGTATGATATGGTATATACTCTATAATAATTACCTTTTTGAGTGATATATTTTCATTTTTGCAAAAAGTTTATTGGGGTGTTCATTGCTGAGGAATTACTTATACACAAGTAACACCTAACCCAATGAATGAATCTTTGAATAATTACCACATTCAGAGAATGTTTGATTTGTAACTTTAAAATCTAATTTTCAGTGTCAGTTCAACCATTTTCTAGCTAAATACCTTTGATTAGTCATTTCAATATTATCTCAGTTAGCTCTACAATGCACAAGGTGCCATGTTGTCTAAGATGTTTCAGGTGATATTGAGTAGGTCACAAAAGGATATATCCAAAAACACTTCGAAGGTATCGTATCGTACTTGCAGGTAACAGCATTTTCAAGGGCTTCAAATGTATTTTAACTTACCAGAAAAATAAAATGATCTGTGCCTTGAAAACACAAAGTAAAATAAAGCTCAATGTTTTATTGGTAGGTGACAAGGCACAAAGAGAAAAGAAAAAGAGGTTCTGTTTTCTCCCACTCATGTACCCATTAATTTTTTATCATGGTTCAGCCTTGAAGAGACTTTACATGTAAGAGGCATTTTTCATTATGTCTAAAGGTCAAATATTTGAGAATCAATAAGTTACCAAACAATTGGATATTTCATATAGATGCAAAGTCACTATACTTATCCTTTTTGTAAAAAGTCAGGCTGAATCTATCACAAATATTTCCTTGTAAATGCTTTTCATTCAGAAATGAAACAAAAGATGTGCTGCTGCTAAGAGCTTCAAGGTCTAGAATGCGTATGTGCTCCTTATTATAATTCCTTTCTTCAAAACAGGCATTTTGTGTCCCTGAAGGACAAGCCTTGTGTTCACCCAGCTCTAGGAACTGATTAATGTCTCGGGATGTGATGTATATTTAAGCCATTCTTGCGGCCTATTAGCAATTCACAAATCATGACTGTGCACAGTTCTGTGCTCAACTCCATTTTACATCATAAAATGTTTATAAATCTGCCTCTATTCCCAAAATGGTATATAAACACATCAACAAATCTCATATACACTGCAAGAAAGGAGCTAAAGGTTATGAATTTATCACAGCCTCAGGCTGTTCTGTGACAAATTAAATATCACCCTGGCCACTGAGGTAGGCAGTTGGTCAGAATGAACTGTAGATAGATTGAACCTCTCTTTCTGGAGACAAGTTAGCAGCTCACCGAAACATTATAAATTGTATCATCTACCCTAGAAAGAAAATTACCCCATGCTGAAAACAAGCCTCTCATTTCTACAAGACTGCAGTCTGATGATTCCTTAGAAGACAGAGCAATTTCATGGTAAAGAGAAGTCGTAAGACATAGCTTGAGATAGGGACAAGAGATAGTGGGGATTCTTATTTCTAGCCACAGCACTTGGGCAGGGATTCACATTAGTTAAATATAAATATTATATGAATATATGCATATATACAGGACTATACATTCTGTTTTATATATGCATATTCTGTTTCTGGGTGGTGAATCCTTTCCTATCTCATCTTTGAGAACTTAACAGGTACCAGAAAGTGAATGAAAAAGGGACACCCAAGCAAAGTCTTCACAAATTTGCCTTGAATACCCCCAAGTAATAGCCATCTAGAGTCTAATTTTCAACAAGATATAGTCACAGACAAGCTTCATTTTCTCTCTTAATTTTAGGATCTATAATTAAACTCATCCTTTTTGTTCAATGTGAAGATATGCTTTGCTGTATGACATGCAGCTCACATAAAAGATCCTATAGTCAATTAGAAGATTCATTTCTTAACACTTGAGTTTAATGTGTTTTCTTTTATGTTATATATATTTTACCAAAATAAAGATTTTTCTCTCGAAGAGTTTTCTCCTCATTCTCCTAGAAAGAGGAAAGGCTTTCTACAACTAGGCCACAGAATACAGACTTTTATTGTTGGGTGGATTCCATTTGCTATAGAATTTTTCAGAATGACATTCTATAATTTAGTCATTGCTTTTACAATATGAAAGGATTGCAAACTTCTGCTCACCACCAGCCATCCAGTTTTTCTCTCCTTTGAGCACTTCATCTCTCTCTTGTAGTTAACTGAGGTCAGGTGACTATTTCTGGTCAATGAATTGTGAATAGAAATGATACCCATCACAACTGTACTGTAATGTTTAATGGCTGTTTGAGACACTCCTCAATTTTCTCATTTCTTTCTAGCAAAATTATCTGCAGTTTTCACGAGGGCAACTTCTCTGTCGGTTGGCATCCCTGAGAGACTCTAAAGTCCCTCCCCCCTGCCATTAAACCATGTTGGACATGTAATGAGAGAGAGAACCAAATGGGGAGCTTTCTTATTTTAAGCCAATGAGATTTTGATATATATATATTATTTTTTTTAATAGAGGCATGTTTTATTTATTTATTTATTTGTTTGTTTGTTTTGTTTATACATGCACTGGGTACAGTCAGAAGCGCGGGAGGGTGAGAGAATTCACCAGAGCCAGAGCGGGGAGCAGAACAGGCAGAAGGACCGAAGTACACTGCTGAGGGGAGCAGCGGGCGGCAGGAGAGGTCTGCGCGCCATGTGGGATCCTCCTCTGGTGGCCGGGGAGCAGCCGGGGATCGAACTGGCGCCGCAGAGGCCGTGGGCAGCTTGGCAACCCAGCGCTCAACCGCTGCGCCACCAGGGAGGCCCTATATATATATTTTAAAGATTTATTATTTATTTATTTATTTATTTATTTATACAAGCACTGGGTACAGTCAGAAGCGAGGGAGGGTGAGAGAATTCACCAGAGCCAGAGCAGGGAACAGATCTGGCAGAAGGACTGAAGTACACTGCTGAGGGGAACAGCGGGCATCAGGAGAGGTCTGCGCGCCAGGTGGGACACTCACCGGTGGCCGGGGATGGAACCGGCACTGCAGAGGCTGCGGGCAGCCTCGGAACCCAGTGCTCAACCGCTGTGCCACCGGGGAGGCCCCTGATATATCATTTTTTTAATTGCAGCATAATCTAATCTATACTGATTGATAAAAATTAGTTAAGCTTCAGGAACTTATTGCTATAGGTTTCCTTACCACAGAAATGTTCAAGGCTTTAAAATACCAGTAGAAAACATAAATCTTCAACAGAGGAATATACTGAAAGCACTTCTGAGACTATTATAATCATGGAAGTTTTTACTCTGCTTTTAGTTTTTATGTGTTGTGCAGAACACTTATTACCATGGTAATGATCACTGTGTTCCACAGAGCAATTAGGGAAAACACCTTTGTTTCAGTCTCTGCAGTTCACAAAATAGCCAAACAAAGCCCTGAAGAATGGAGCTCTTCTCCAAGGTCATACTCCCAGTTTGCCAGATTCAGGACATGAACATCAGGAAGGTCATGTGAGGTGCTCAGTCAGAGACAATGGACTTGACAGCCTGATGGCAAACTGGGGTAGCCTTTGCAGCCTTGTACATGAGTCTTTAGAGAGCTAGCCCAGTGAAAGCATTGATGACACTTTTGCATACAAATTAAAATCAACACAAAAATTACCACCTGCCCACAGATAATTAAACCAAAAGATATACCCATAAAAGGTTCCAAAAACTTCCCAACTAAGAAAAAGTCAGATCAGTATTTTTTGGATATGTGAGAAGAGGAAAAAATGTCAGCTAGATCTTCTGAACCAGGTTTCTATAGTTTGCTGAAAAAATATATGTATCAGGTCTCTTGTTAAAAACATTGCAATGAGAACTTCAAGGACATATTACACTCCTTTACCTTAGGGAAGACTTTGGCTGAAAATGAGGTTTCAGCCTGAAATAAGGGAGAAAATATCTGATTCACTGAGATTTTTTTTAAGCCACTGAAGACACCTCTTTCCTTTGAAACAATTTATTTTGAATAGTGTTAAAAGCCCTAGTAGAATTTCCTTCTCTATCACAAAATCACAAGAATCAAGAGTGATAGCTTTCAATCTGTGGAGGTAAAGATCTATTGAAACATCATCTGTATTTAATTACAATATTGGAGGAAAGTAAAAAAGCTGTCTAAAAAGCAAAACAAAAACAAACAGCAAACTGCTACATGAGAATTGCCAGAAATTGATTAAGAAAAGCTCTAAGAAATTAACCAAAAAAAGGGCTTTTATAAAAACTCTAAGCTTGATCTCTGAGCCTCACTGAAGCACTTTATCTAAAAAATTGGGAATGTTCTAAATGGAATGTTGTCTTTATTGAAATATGACCCCCAAATGCAGGTTCTCTGTGGCTGCTTTGAAATTAGCCAAATTATATTGGATTCTTCACCATTGTGAAATGAGATCTTTAGTTAAAAAGTAATGAAGTATAATTGGAACATAAATAATTTTAAAACATTTTGGTCTAAGCCTGAAGACTGGCATGTGAATAATTTTGAGTCATGCTCCAAGGAGTTTATTGTAGGTACCTGTGGGGAACATGAATTCCAAATACTGCCCTGAGGGTTCTAGACATAATGGCTGGGCAGACAAACCTCTGCTTTTTCAGTCAAAGAGCCTCTGCATAAAGCCTTCTGCTATATTGCTTATCCCCACGGAGAAAAGAGAGAACGGAGCACCCCACAGCCTCTCCCAGTCAGCTGCAGAAGCAGGAGCAACTCAGCTCATCAAAGCTCTCTGCCTCAGCAAACACAAATCACTGCAGTAGCTGGACTGAGAGCTCCTTTTCCACAAAACAGGAGGTGAACTTAGGATAAACAGGACTTAGAAAAATAATGAATTTAAAGCTGTTG